ACTGAACAGTACTATGAAAAGTGATAATGCAGTATGTTGTGTTGTGATAAATATTGTGATATTTGGAAAACAAAATAAAGAACGTAAATAAACTATTCACAAGTAGAGATAATTATTGCTCCAGCGATGGAAACATGTGTGTAGAGGGTGTTAAAGCAGAAGTTCAGTCTTCTAATCTGCACAATACGGATGCTAGGGGTGCAACTAATGATTATTTTGGTAGTCGACTAATCTGATGATTATTTTTCCGATTAGTAGATTAGTCAGTGATTATTTCTGTCATGCCGTCCATCTCTGCTTCCTGTGGGTGTGACTCCTGTTCCTGTTTTACCTCTTCTGCTCAAGTCTGCAAACCTCTGAATATCCCCCTGTTGTCCAGTCTCTGCCTTAACACAAGTTCCCATAGCAAATTAAAATATGACCCATGAAACGTGAATATGAAACTTAAGCTTGATAGCTTATATAAACAGGGGACTGTTAAGTTGCAGAAGTCATAACTCTGCAAGTCAAAAACAAACTATATAATAAGTTTCCTTGAAGTGACATTCAGGTACATAAAAGTAAAAAATAGTCCATCCATTATAAAATCTTGCTGGGTCTGGAAGTTCAAAGGTTCGAATAAGGCTAAAAAAAAAGTTCTTCTCGTCCAAAATACCTATTAGCAATAGTTTACAAAAGCTTTAAATTGCAGTGCAGGAACATGAGCATGTTGACGTATTGGAGTGAGGCTGGCTCTCGTCTTTGAGGTGATGTTCCTATGCTTTAGCTAACATAACTCAAATAGCATTCTCTTAGCAAGCACAACCATGAGACCTTGTGTCCCCCGACACAACAGGTAAACAGGTAAACTAACAAACATTAGCATACTAACATTAGTTGGCTAAAGAACAAAGTGGTAGAAAACACTTTGGGAGTAGTGTTAGACATCATGGCTCCAGGGTGCTTGCGTTTCAGATGCTCATGCATCACCATAGTGCTTCTGTGAAATGACAACTCTGCTTTACAGTGTCTGCATTCAACTTGTTTCGTTGGTATTTTTGCTGAAATGCTCCCAGACTTTTGAAAGTTTTGGCCTCACTTTTTTTGCCTCTCTTTCTTCACACATCTCCACTGCGTCATCTTATCATTCAATATAGTACAGAATGCAGTCATGCCAAACATTGGAACTTTCAACTAATCGATGCAGCCCTAACGGACGAAGACTTTGATATTGTTTAAATAGAGTAGGGTCAGCCACACTCACATCTGATCCTCATCAAATTGATTGAACCTCCTGACCCTAATTATCACTGATAATCCAGCAAAGACATTTAGTGTTGGATCATTTTGTTCAATAAATGGAAGAATTTGTATAATTGTTTGTGTTATTTGTTTTATTGGGTTCTCTTTGTCAGTTGTTATGACTTAAATGAAGATGTGTTCATATTTTAGGTCACATTTATGTAAAAATTCACAAAATGATGGTCCCCAAAAAGCTCCCCAACCATTTATTTGGCACTTTATATTTTCCCCTTTTTTCACAGCATGAACAACACAGTGAAATTCTAAAATCAATGAATATGTTTACATGCACTCAATAATCCGATAACTGCAGAAAATCAGATTTTGTCAGTAATCCGATCAACGCTTTTATATGCATTCAAGTAATCAGATAATGGGGACACTCTGCGTCTACATGAGTCAGACAGTAATCAGATTTCTGCTTTGCAAATGGCCAAAAAACTCACAAAGAAGACGTGATGTAAATGCAACGTAAACTCAAACTTCATGCCGCGGCTTTTTATTTAAAAAAAACTTCGTGCCACTTTACCTGAAAATATGAACATCCATCATCTAGAAGATGAAGAATATTTAAATCCCTCATTTTGTCAAGCATGTAGCTGGTTTCAGCGTTGCTCCAAAAGTGTTTTGCTGCCGTATCTTACTTATTTACGGTACTTGCCATCTGTTTCGTACAGGCTGAGAAATCTGATTACGGCGCTAAAGTCCAGCTCTCTTTATCAGATTTCTTAATCAGATTTCTAGATCGGAGTATGGTGTTTACATGACCATTTGAATAATCAGATAGCTGCAGAAATCTGAATGTGATCGGATTATTGAGTACATGTAAAAGCACTCATTATGTCTGGTGTGTGTAGTTTTGGTGCAAAAAATGCAAACAATAGTAAGCCCTTAGGGCCTTGCCAACCCAAGCTGACTGTCAAGCATCAGTTGGTGCCAGTGGCTGATTGTCATCTGTAGTTTGTGTGGTGTGTCCAGTGCTGTTGGCTTCAGTCAGCTTTTGTCGAAACTATTTTGGCTGCCTGAGCATGCTGAATCAGCGTTGGCAGTTGGCCATGAGAGTTTGTTTTGTGATCAGCTGTGTAGCTTGGGGAATCAGCATTCTCAATTCAGTTCTGAATGTGTTTGCACACTCATTTAAAAACTATCACAATGCATCCAACAAGAAAGGCAGCCTTGTGCTTCTTTTACACAGTGATAGACAACATGACAAAATGCTCCGGTTCCTGATACTAATCCATTTTACTATGACCAGCATGGACATGCACACAGAACTCTTTTAACGAGTGAAAGGGGTCAAAGCTGAAGTCTCGGAATGTAACATCGACATGATCGGTAAAACAGGGTTACCCTGTTGGGGGAGCCTGTGATTTGAAATCCCCTAAAGCTGAGACTGAGTATATTCCACAGGACCTTCACTGCTCCATCTTGCGCAGCTGCATACTGCTACAAATGAGTCTACACACACACACACACACACACCTGCACACCTGTAAATAAAACAGTGTGGTCTAAAAGAAAGGAGAGTGCCCAAACTTTTATACAGGTGTGTGTGTGTGTGTGTGTGTGTGTGTGTGATAGGGAGAGAGTGTGGGCATATTGGGTTGTGTAATGTACAAGAGAGGTGTGTGTGCTTGTACCTGAGTGTGTCACCTACTATACAGGTGTGTGTGTGTGTGTAGAAATCTAGGGCAGCCTTTGCTTTGCTCTGCTGCTCCACTGACGGCGAAGACCCAGTTTACTCTCTGGCACATTTAGAGCAGACGAGCTTTATAGACTGTAATATTTAAAACAGAGGAGGTGTGTACATGCACATCACTACCTGTAGGGTACTGGAGGGGCATAGAGCTAGAATGAGTAAAATAATTTCAGTTTATATGGGTAAACTGAGTTAAATTAGAATGGGTAAAAGGAGTTAAATTAGAATTGGTAAAATAAGAGTTAGAATGGGCAAAATGAGTTCAATTAGAGTGGGTAGAATTAGAGTTAGAATGGGTAAAACAAGTCAAATTAGAGTGGGTAAAGTTAGAGGTAGAATAGGTAAAAGGAGTTCAATTAGAGTGGGTAAAATTAGAGTTAGAATGGGTAAAACAGCTGGGTGACCGGGTTCCTTTCTGTGTGGAGTTTGCATGTTCTCCCCATGTCTGCGTGGGTTTCTTCCCACGGTCCAAAGACATACAGTCAAACCAATTGGAAATGCCGAATTGCCCCTAGGTGTGATTGTATATGTATGTCTGTCTGTCTGCCCTGTGATGGACTGGTGACCTGTCCAGGGTGTATTCTGCCTTCCGCCCAATGACAGCTGGGATAGGCTCCAGCACCCCACCACGACCCAGAAGGATAAGCGGTTTAGATGATGTATGTAAGGGTAAAACAAGTAAAATTAGAGTTATAATGGGTAAAATGAGTTAAATTAGAGTGGAGATAAATGAGTAGTGACACCCCTGGTCAAGTTCCATGTTTTGTTGATTTTCTAAGAGAAAATAAGTTAACACATCCTCTACAGAGAACACACTTCTGCACATTTTAATACACAATTGCTGTTTATTTGCTGAGTTTAACATGTTGGAAAAGAAAATAAAACAGAAATGGAAATAAAATAAACAGAATAATAAATTTATAGAAATTGCCATATTTCAGTTTGTTCCCTGCAGTGCATGTTTTAACTTATTTTCACCCTGAATATCAGTAATACATTTTATGTGCCCTGGAACCTGGTTCAAACATTTGCATGCAGCTATAGATATAACTTTCTTGATTCCCAGCAGAAACTGCAGATTATTAATAATTGACCCATATTATGACCCCTTGTGATTAATTATGGCTTCTTTAAGTCTTCTTTACCTGCACTATTAATTCCAGACATCCATTCCATTAACTCCTAACAATTAAGAATGCCTTCCTTAAGAAATTGTATTCTTAATGATTTCAGTCTAGCCAAGTCAGCAGATCTAGGAAGAATTAAGACCCATTGCTGTCAGCATGACGCTGCTTTATTTTGCTGTTTGCCGTTACTGTAGCTCTCAAATGAATGGCGCCTCATTGTAGGCAACCCATTTATTACAGTGCTAATAAATCTGTACATTCACTGTCCACTGTATTAGAAACACCTATCCTGTACTTCCACACAGTGGCCTCTTTATGAGCTCCACCTACATAATGGGTTCACAATATAGGTGTTCGGTTACAGACTGTAGCCCAACTGTTGTCATACACACCCTTTACCTCATTTATCAGTGGTCAGGTTCTGTCCACAGGAAATGTCTACTAGACAGGCTAAAAAAGAGAGTTGAGAGCAGGTTTCAGGAGTGATAAGTTAAAGGACAAAGCAGTGAGGGATTGTTGTGGTGAACACATGATTGATGAGGCTTGGCCTGAGGACTTGCAGGCTTGCTTTTTGGAGTGACTTTGGAGTGAGAAGGTGAAACGTTGGTGTCTGTGAAGGCTTTTTTTTTGAAGATTTGAGTGATGAGAGCAACTTTAAATGGTGGTGGAGGAGCACTGAGTATAAAGAGGGAAAGATATTTGTTTAGAAAATAGGAGCTTTGGGGGGAAAAGAAGGGATTTCGGGAGTGGGAATCATATGAAATTTCCCGATTTACAAAATAGAGTTTGTCTAGCTGATTTTGTACATACTTTGAACATAATGTTGTCCAAATGTTGCTTTGTTCTAACAGCGTCTTTCTTCTTTCTTTTCCTCTTTTTCTTTCTTTCTGCAGTATGTGGCTTTCGGTTCCCTCCTCTTCATCCTCATTTCCATCTCAACATTCTGCATGGAGACCCACGAGGCCTTCAACACCATCTACAACAAGACAGAGAATGTGACTGTGGGCAACGTGACGCGGGAGGAGATTGTGTACGAGGTGGTGACGGACAGCTGGCTGACCTACGTGGAGGGCATGTGCGTGGTGTGGTTCACCATCGAGGTGTTCACCCGTGTCGTCTTCTGCCCCGACAAGGCTGAGTTCTTCAAGAGTGTGCTGAACATCATCGACTTTGTGGCCATCCTTCCCTTCTACCTGGAGGTGGGCCTGAGTGGTCTGTCTTCCAAGGCAGCCAAGGATGTGCTTGGCTTCCTGCGGGTGGTCCGATTCGTCCGGATCCTACGTATTTTCAAGCTCACCCGACACTTCGTGGGCCTGCGAGTGCTGGGCCACACCCTCCGTGCCAGCACCAACGAGTTCCTGCTGCTCATCATCTTCCTCGCCCTGGGGGTACTCATCTTCGCCACCATGATCTACTACGCAGAGCGCATAGGGGCCAACCCGGACGACCCCACAGCCAGTGCCCACACCGCCTTCAAGAACATCCCCATTGGCTTCTGGTGGGCCGTGGTCACCATGACGACCCTGGGCTATGGTGACATGTACCCTGAGACGTGGTCTGGGATGCTGGTGGGTGCTCTGTGTGCCCTGGCTGGTGTGCTGACCATTGCCATGCCTGTCCCTGTCATCGTCAACAACTTTGGCATGTACTACTCCCTGGCCATGGCCAAGCAGAAGCTGCCCAAGAAGAAGAATAAACACATTCCACGAGCCCCGCAGCCCGGCTCGCCCAACTACTGCAAGCCTGATGCCCTGGCCATGGCCACTGCCTCACCCCAGAGGATCCTGGGTAATGTGCTAGGCGGGGTAATGGGCTCAGGAGGGCTGACAGGAGACTGCCCTCTCGCTCAGGAGGAGATCATAGAGATAAACAGAGGTGAGTGATACACAAACCACTAAATATCTGTAGGGCTTCCCAACCTTTTGCAGCTCACGGTCCACACAAATGACCACAAAAGCTTCTGTGGCCCACAAGAAGATTTAACCAATCCAGCCATTTTCATTGACTAGGTGACTAAACGGAGGTCTGGCTCAATTTAATAGGTTTAAATGCATACCTATATGTTCAAGTATACCTCCAAGTGACGGTGTAAATCACGTGTTAAGCTCCAGTCCTCGTGGGCCAAAACACTGCAGTCTTTAGCACGCTGCCTAATTAAACACACCTGACTCAACTCATTAACTAATGACCAAGGCCTTCATGAACTAAATTCAGAGCGTTAGATGAGGGTAAATGCTAATATCCTCAGCCCTTTGGCCTGGAAGGTCCCCAGTTTGACATGCCTGGTGTAAATCATTTAGCTTCAAAAGACATCTGAACATACACCACAGATCAGTAATTTTCGGCTCGTTTTCAGGGTCCGTGCACGTGACATCTTGTGCTAGGTAGTAACTGCTGTATTTTGTTTGTTTCAGTTTATGCTTGGTTTTCTTGGTTTTCTAAGTCTGAAACATGGTGGCTGCTATTCTTGTAGATGGCCAAGCCTCCAGATCTTTCTTTCTATCCATGATGGGTGAAAAGTGGAAACATTTTGCATTGACTTGCACTGAAAATATAATCATAACTAGCTAGCCTTTTGCCAGACAGATCAGTATGCTTGATATAAATATGTTGTTTTATTATTGCAAATCATTATCACAATATTGGTCATGTTTAAATTACAAATAATTACATTTGTTTAAATGAATATATTGTAAAAACAATTACGTAAAAAAAAAACAAAAAAAAAAAACAATGGCCCTCAGGTTGAAAACCACTGTACTAGTGCAACGAGCCACAAAGGCTGTGTGCGGTAAGACCTTTACACTCTAAGTATGATTTAAATTCCTTTATATGGCAGTAAAATAATTTGAACACATATATAACTGACGATGTCTCTATAATTGACTAAACTCGGAAGGTGAAAAGTGACAGTATTTTATTTGCTCTTACAATTTTTGCTGTATTTCGCTGGCAACATGAACTCAACTGATCACCATTGTCTCTCACGTTACCATAACCGACTGGCATAGCATCCCAGCTTCTACAACTTTCTGACAAATGTCAAATAGATTAGTTTGCCCTCTTCTTCGATACATGTGGTTGTAGCCAGTGGCATAACTTGAATCTTTCTGTAAGCTGTGAGTGTACAGTTGTGTCAGTATCTATAGGAGGAGTCTGGTTGCTGCAGGTAGACCCAGTGCAGACGCCCCCCTGACAGCCCCCCAGTAGTTACTGCATTGGTACTGGAATCTCCAAAATCAGCACAGACTAGTTTACAGATTACAGAAAAGCTCTCAAAACATTTAAGCTCCTCACTGAGGTGAAGAAACTCTCCATTCTCCTTTGGCTTTTCCAAAATGGAAAGAACTGTTAAGGTCAACTGGTAGAGAGAGTGGTCACCGTGAGTCATCTTTGTGCTAACATGCTTTTGGGAAACCCAGCCCAGAACCGAAGCACCTAGCTTGTACTTCCATCCTCTGGCCATCTTAATAAAACTGCTAGATGAAGAGTGGTCCACTACCCAAAAATATCCACTCCTGCAGCACTGTGGTCAGAAACTGACCACTGATGAAGGGCTAGAGGATGACTAACAGAAACTACACATCAATAGATGAGCTAGAGTCTCTAACTGTACACCAACAAAATGGAGCTACTCACACAGATGTTTAATATGTTTAAAAACAACTGTATATATTATATACAGACACAGAATCCATATAAACCCAACTGAACATTCTCTTCCACTGACACACAACTATATAAAGTAACACAAACTGGGTATCAATGTGTGATGTCATAGAAAGCTGATTAACACATTTATTGATTTATAAGGCAAACAAGACCCTCCTCTTCGGTATACACAGGGTTCTTTTGTATAAGGTGTCATTATAGTGTTCCATATAGGTTCTAATACTATGTGCATTCAGTCAGTACAGTTCCACTTCAGCCTACATTAAAAAAATTATCTATTGCTACATTTGCTCTTGCCTGTTCACACAGTACAGTACAGTGGTGCCCCTATAGACCACTGTAGTCGTGCGTCATTGTGTAGTCCTCGTTATGCCCATATTAGGAACTCCGGGTCTAAACTCCATTTCTCTATGGCCAGAATGAATTCAGAGGATCCAGTGTTATTCAAGAGAAGAATATTCACAGGACATTCTTCTCTCAAATCAGGTTCTGAACATTTTTGTTTAACACAGGGTGCGATAGAGGCGATTTTTCGAAAACCCTATTCATTCTGGCCATAGAGAAATGGAACGCAGACCCAGAGTTCCTAATATGGGCATAAGAGCATGGCGCCGGCTACAAAATGATGACACGACTACAGTGGTCTATAGGTTTTCTGATTTAAAGGCTAGGAAAACTCCCAACTGATGATGTAACTTGAAGGGAGGAGGAGCTGTTTAAAGGGGGTTGAATAATGTGTTTGTATAATGCAGTTTGGCTGTTTTCGTGAAGGAACTAAATTAAAACTGGGTATTGTCATAAATTAAAACTAGGTATTTAACAATACAGTCTATTGTATTGTAGCAAATTGTAGCGCATTATATTGTATCACATGACCTTATGATAACTAGCACGTTAGCTTGTGGCTAGTATGTTCGCTTCTGACTAGAGTCTGAAGTTTATACTTGTTGAAACCTCTAAAAACTGAAAATGGAAACATTAACATATTACAAGGCACATTTTAAGCCACTGCTAATTTTTGCTGTATAGAAAAATGTATCAAATCATGACACCACTGACCTCTGTCAAACTAATGAGGCAGAGAGATAATGCCGTACTACAGAAAACTGCATAACTCAACAAATAACATAGTAAATGCCAGTTTTAGGCCAGAATGTTCCTTTAAAAGCGACATTGGTGGACAATTGTGTACTAATGGACAATTCTGTCGCTTAATTTTGCTGTTTGAAATGCTGTTCAAGTACTTTATGGCTCTCTTACAATTGAATGAAATTGGTTTGTAGCGCCATGTTGCGCTTTTTTTCTAGGTTGACAGTGCCAGCAGAGATGATGGTGAAACAACTCAGGACATTTAAGTGCACTTAAAGTATTGAGTGTTTCTCAGGAGGCTCAGCGCCTCCGTAATAGCTGATTTTATATTTATGATCAACTGGTGACTCCATATGAGCCCAAAGCATTCCATCTGCCAAGCCTAAACACACACACACACGCAGTGCCCCAGTCCCACCAGTGAAAAACCCTAGGGGCTTTTAGCTATTTAGCTATTAGGAATTTCATTTCTGGTCATTTTATCATTGTCATTTTACTCCCCCCATAAACTCTGGGCTGTAAACAAAAGCTTCCATCTCAGGGAGCTGGCCTGACTCGACTATGTCATTAATATTGCTAATAGTACAGAGTCATATGTAAACGTTTGGACACCCCTGGTCGAATGCCATGATTTATTGATTTTCTAACTGAAGATAAGTTAACACATCCTCTACAGAGAGCATACTTTTTCACATTTTATTGCACAATTACTGTTTAGTTGTTGAACTTAACTTATTGGTTATGGCTCCTTAATGATATGTTAAATTTAAAATAAAAACAGATGTGCACTGAAATTAGCAGAAAATTGCCATATTTAGGTTTGTGTTAAATTATTTTCACTTGCAAAATCAACAAAGCATGTAATTTCACCATAGTATTCAGACTTTTGCATATGACTGTGTTTTTTTTTTCCAAGCATCTTCGATTGGATCCTTGTTCTGTGGCCAGACGGACAGTGCTTTGTCCTTCCTGGACATGCGATAATCGTTCTCTGTTTCGGGAAGTAAACAGATCTTAGAACAAGACTATACTTAAATCTGAAAGTCATCAGTATCTATATCCATACCCGTATACAGTGTCTAGGGTTATTAATACACTCTGAGGCAGACATATGTAATTCAGAGCAGTGGAGTTTGGTTCTCGCCCTACTTTTTCACACGTCTTTCACCCTTTCTGACCCACAAGCCTTTCCACTGTTGTGTTTTGCATAATTATGTGATATTTTTGGGCAGTAATATGAAGTATTATATATATACTGATGAGACCACTTAATTACCACTTCAACACTTTAATATGAGAATAAAAAGATTCAGAAAAGTGTCTGTGTGGTCACTCTGTACCAGGGTTCTTCAATTCCAGTGACCAGCACAATTTTATTGATAAACCTTTTATTTTGTTAGTAGTTTGCTAATAGGGGCTGGGGCAACAAATGCAGTGGTTTTAGGTATGAGATGTGCATTGCAGAACAGTTTTTTGTTATGTTTCTGTAAGTCTCAGGCACTCTGCCCACAGAAGAACACAGACTGCCTGATTTAAACTGCATGCTAAAATCACCACAGCTCCCAGAATCTCACCTGCCACAGAACATTTAAACTGCACTTCCGTACACTGGTGTTATCAGTCCTTTGGGAACCAAAATCTAGTTGCTATTAGAATTCATTTGCATCTCTGCTCACCAACAAGCAAGATATAGACATAATCACTGGACCAGGAAACATTCATTATATCCCATTTTAAGAAGCTATTCCTGTTTCTATTTAGTTTAAAGCTGTAGGTTGCTAGTAAATGAAATATCTTTGTGTGTTTGACTTTTAACTCGTGTAGCATTTTCACACTAATAAAGTACTTTGGATTTTGTCTCCAAAAAGAATAACTTTACAGGAAAGGGCAAAAACATTCTTTACTTTCAGTGTAAGTCAATGTGAAGACATTTTCTTCCAAGCAACTTTAGAGCATTTCTGTTGGTCCATTCATCATGGAATTTTCATGCAATATAAATAACAGATGCCCTGCTCAAATGATGCAGAAAAGTAAATATTGAAAAAAGATATGTTTTTCTTTCTATTTCACAAAATGATAGAACAAGCAATGCAAAAGGCAGCAGGACAGGCTGTTTCCTACAAATTTCGGTGGTAGTTGGGGACACATAACTGCAGAAAATCAGATTTTGTCAGTAATCCGATGAATGCATTTATACGTGAGTAATCAGATAATGGGAAACTCAGACAGTAATCGAGTTTCTGCTTTGCAACCGGCCAATAAACTCACAGAAGAACATGTGACGTAAACATAATGTAAAACTAAAACTTTTTTAGTTTTTTTTAAAAATCGCTCCACTTTACCTGAAAATATGAACATACATCATCTAGAAGATGAAGAATATTTAAATCCTTCATTTTGTTGAGCATGTAGTTGGTTTCAGCATTGCTCCAAAAGTGTTTTGCTGCCATCTCATGGCAAAGCCGCTTGCTTATTTCCAGTACAGCAGTCTGTTCCGCACATGCACGGACTGAGAAATCCAAAAGAAATCCAGGTAAGAGCTTACATGCACTGAGAAGTCTGATTACTGAGCTAAAATCCAGCTCTCTTTATCAGATTTCTTAATTGGATTTCTAGATCGGAGTATGCTGTTTACATGACCATTTAAATTATTGGAATGCTGCAGAAATCATGATCGGATTATGTTCATATGACCGACATAACAACCGCTGATGTGCACCCTGCTGTCACTGCTCTCTCTTATTGTATTAACTTTATGTGAATCAGATTGTTGATATGTGGCGCAGAAGGTGCTTGTGACATGCCTATAGTCAGGTGCTCTTGTCGGAGATAATGGTGGAAAAATGAAAGAGAATGGGAGACAATTACATTGGCAGAAAAGTTTAGTCTATAAAAAAAATATTAGGTCTCTCGCTCTAAAATGTACTGTTAACTTAAACAGCGCACGGCTCATGCAGATTTTTGGACATATATAAATAAAACAAAATCAGCACAATAGCAGTTGTAGTTAAACAGTTCTGAGATCTGGGGGTGCTGCAGCCGCCTCAGTACCCCTAATTTCCCTGTCCCTGGCTGCGACCATTACTGTGTTGACCGTTACTGGGGATGAGTTTGGGTTACCCAGCAAGCACCTGTGTTTGTGCGTGTGTTTTGCCTGAACAACATATGAACTAAAGCTAAAATGACATGAATATTTCTTTCCCTCTCTTGTTCCAAATCTGCTTTTTTCTGCTGCTGCAGTGAGCCTTACTCCTTTTTTCACTCTCCTTCTGTCTGCTTTTCCCTCCTTCTCTCTCCCCCCATCTCCCTCTTTAACCTTCGCTCTCTTTCTTTCTATTTCTCATTTCACATTCATTTCATTCCCTCTTTTTCCACCATATTACTTCTCTTGTCCTTCATATCTGGACTCTCTCTATCCTCTCTATTCTCTCATCCATTCTTTTTCTTTCCCTATTTTTTTTCTTTTTCTTTAATTTCACGTTCAATTCTTTTCCTTTCTCTGTAATCCTCCAATTGTCCTGCACCTCGTCTCTCTCTCCTCCATTTCTCTTTCTTCTTTTTCTTTTTCTCTCCCTCTCTCTCTCTCTGTCAGACTCCAAGCAGAATGGTGATGCGGCCAGTGCAGCTCTGGCCAATGAGGACTGTCCTACAATAGACCAGGTTCTGAGTCCTGAGGAGCGGAGTCCAGCAGGACGGACGCGGGAGCGCTACCAGCAGGACCGCGCCTGTTTCCTGCTCAACACGCGTGATTTCCGGCCCACTGACGGAAATGTCCGGAAAGGTATACTCACACATATGCACCCCTTATGCTAACACACGCACACGTGCACAAGTTCCAACACACATGCACACTCCTTGTTTCTCTCCTACGGGCGGAGCACAGGGGTCAGACTGAGCCCAGCAAAGAAGGACATTTCCTGTTCATTTCAACCAGAAAGTCCGCCACAGTCATCACACCAAGTTTATAACTCTGCTTTACTCCCCCAATAATGACATGACATAATATACATTGTACATTATATACATAAACACATACATGCAAATATGAAATGGTTCTCTTGAATTCTTTTCAACGATTCGGGTGAACCAATTCAATGCAAGTCCAACATGAACCGAACTTCTGTTGCATCTAGGCTGCATTCACGTCCATGTTAGAGGCTGAGGCTTTTGTGACAAAATTCGAATAATACAAACTAATGTTATATAAAATGATTTTGTAACATTTTCATTTAATTATTAGGGCTGGCCTGAGTCATTTGAATGGTCAAGTATTAATTTGTTACACAGGTGTTAGTTTTTCTATTCAGTGTTTGGAAGCTTCGTCCTTTTTAAGCCACAAAAATTATAGAAGTTCCCATTTCCAGTCCTGGAGACCCTTTGCTGTGCATTTTTGTGGATTCCCTATTCTACACACCTGATCCAGCCAACGAGGCGCTTGTTCATTAGTTAACAAATTGAATTAAGTGTGCTCAATAAGACCAATCACAACAATGTGCATAGCTTTGGGTCACCAAGACTGGGACTGGGAGCCCCTGGCCTAAACTACTACTACATTTCATCAGCAAAAGCTTTTAAACAGGCCGTCAGCTGTTATTATATGGATACATAGATAAATTCTATCTGCTTTAGTTGAATACATCATAAATTCACACTAGGCATCCATATTGCCATTAAAGCGCAATAACCTGCTCTGTTTTCCACTTGACCACTAAAGCTAAACGAACAAGATGCCTGAGAAAGAAATCATGGTTATGATTATGGCTAATTATGAAATAAAATTTTGTGTTATAAACCAGTAAAATGTTGTTCAGGTCAGCCCTACTAACCTTGCAATAGAAGGCTTGTAATACGTTATGAACGGCCTCCTTTTTCTTTCTGTAGATGGAGGACGGCTTCCTCTCTCTATTATGTGTTTGTGCCTAATTTATCTGAGTCTGACTCCAATAATGAGTAGAAGTAGTGAACGTCAGGCTCACTCACTGAATTGGAAGTCATACGTATGAAAGAGATGAGAACAGTCAATTTCGCTTCACTAATCGTGGAATGAAGGAGAATCAGTTGGACATTTGAATCACAGACATTTGATTCATTAAAATGAACAAAGAATCAGTTCGGTGAGCTGAATCAATCCTCAGCAGCCAGAGCCACTGCCGTTAAACGCAGCAGTGCAGATTGTTCTACTGTCCTATCATCACACTCAAAGCTATATACACACATACACATACACTACTGTTCAAAGGCTTGGAATCACTTGTCATATTAACATTTTTATTTTATATGCAGTAATATTTTGTTCTATATTGTGTGGATTTACAGGGCCCCTGTCGTGGTAAACAGTTCCTTCACTTGTCTGCTATAAAAGAATTTGATGTAGTATGTAAACTTTGTGAAAGTTTCAAAACATATTGTTCACTCTTCACTCTTTGACTGCTAATGCCACAAACACCAAACATATTTGCATATATCTACATATTCAGCTTATGGCATTTTAGCCCCACCCATTCAGACTGAAGTTATACGGAGTGTTTCAGCTCTGAGTGCTTTTTGAATGAGGCACAGTACAGGATGGCTACTCAGTCTTAAAGTAAGTAACAAAACACAGTAACAAAAACAGTCTGTTAATATTTCAAGCTATTAAATGTTAAATAATATACTGTAATTATCTATTTAAATTTTTGTCAAGTACAAGTCTTGAGATTTGATCTCTAATTTTGAAATATTGATGATTTTGGATGTTATTTATATTATAACTTAATTCTCAATGCTGTACAGCTTTTTCTGTCATTTTAGAATCTTAGATAGCTCTCCATCACTCTGGGCACATCTAACATTTCTTCATTTTCATTTGCAGCTTTATAGCATCCTGCACTGTTAAAAATGGAGGTCAGCTCAACTCAAAAATTATAACTTTCTTGAGTTGACTCAACTTGAGGACACAAGAGTTCCCACAACTCAAACTTCTTAGCTGAGTCAAAAGTTCTCTTAATGTTTTAGTTCTGCATCTCAGTCAGATCAATAAAAGGAGCTCGTTTTTTATACTCAGCCTCCCCACTAGCCAGGACTCTATCCATCACACAATTCTGCTAGACACAGGAAGCAACTCAGATTTTGTGTCTACAAATGTTTAATACACTGGAGAAAATACTTGTTGTTTCAACTTTAAAGCATGGCACAGTCTCGTGTGGTGCAACTGTCTAATGATTCATTCTGACATCAGGAGATTGTGAGTTTGAATCCCAGTAATACCTTTGTTGTCCATATCTTGAAGACCAAGAGGAAGATATGCCAGATGGGACTGTGTGATAGCAGGAGTGCCATTTTTGACTCAACTAAGAAGTTTGACTTGTGTGAACTCCGGTGTCCTCAAGTTGAGTCAACACAAGAAAAGCCATGCAATCAGTTACTATATCAATATAAGTTGAGCAGACCTCTCAGTACAGTACAATAATGATTTAAAACCTGTATGGTTGCACAGGACGAGCATATTATACTTATTCTGTACATTTATCTGCAAACAGATTCGTTTTACATGATTGAAAACACTAATTCCAAACCTTTGAACGGTAGTGTGTACACATCTTTATACACATCTGCTCTTTCAAAATCTCCACCACTCTCCTTTTGCTGTTCTGATTCCTCTCTTCTCTTTCTCCGTCTGTTTTCTCTCTGTCTTTGTCTTTTGTTGGACTGATTGTTTTCTCATTTTACTCTCCCTGTTTCTGTCTTCCATTCTGCTTGTCTGTCTGTCTGTCTCCTCTTTTTGATACACTTTTATTCACCGCTCTAATCCTCTCTCGTTCTCTGCTCTTTCTCTTTTCCTCCCTGCCCTCTCTCACCAACCGACTGCCTTTTGTTTGTTTCTTATCCACATTCACACTCTTTTCACTTTGTTTTCCTTCTTGCTATTCTACCATTTTGTGTTTTACTCTTTTTACTCTCACACTCATGCACGGCGACACCTTAACCTCCCTCCATTTGGAACACTCCATGACGCAACTATCTTTTTCCACGGGACCCAATAACCCCCCTCCCCCACCCCCACCCCCACCCCCAAAAAATACACCAAAATGTCTGTTTATGCCCCAAATCTGCACGCAAAACACCACAAAAATCTGTACCGTTCCACCAAAACTACTCCCTGCTCCTCCCCATGACCCTTACATGACCCCCTACGTGACCCCCCTGTCCGTTAGAGATGGGAGCGCTGGCGGCAGCCCCTGATCCCACTACACCAGAGCAGTGGTATAAGCTGGAGGGCGCTCTGTTACAGCAGGACCTCAATGCTAACTCTGCCTCCTCCTGGATCAAACCGTAGTACTGAGAGGTAAAAGCGCTAAAGATGCTAAACAGAGAAACAAGGGGATGATCGTATACACACACACAGGATACACACACACATACACGCTCATAAATACATACATGTGCATACACAAGCACATGCAGACTTAAGTCACGATGGTTCGAGGCCCAAGCCCATGGGTTTTTGTGTTTTTGTTTCTTTTTTCTTTTTTTTACCCAAAATTTTCAACACAATGTATATTTGTATATTATTTGTATATTATTTTAGTGAGTGCTTGTGAAAATGTTCACTGAATAAGAGTGAAGACTGGGTTTCACGCAAATTCTGCTTCAGTACACAAAACGCTATTCAACAAAATTCCAGTTTGGGATAGTTTTCCAGTCTGTGATCCAGTCATATCCATATGACGCTTGGCCCCTCATTACACCTCAAACAAGAGAAACTGAAACTGAAAAATGAGCCATAAAATTCCTGAGATTCACGGTCTTCCAGCAAGATAAACTGAGTTTTTAGTAGGGATGTGCATTCTGACTAATTTTAATATCAAAATGCAAGAATGCAAATATTCGTAAGAGTTAATGAACAGATATTCTGTTAACTGCAGGGAATGAAAATGTAACAACTAAAATGCCTAATAACCTAGTAACTAACTAAAGCCACCTCTTCTAATGAGTTAAATCTTTTACACAAGTTTTTTTCTCCTCAGTGGATGATCATGTTAGTCAGAGAAATATATTTTTATTGTGTCTGAATGTAGCTAACATCAGCTAGAGTAGCTAGACTAGTTATTGATATAGCCATGCTATCTCTGGCTTCTCATCTACATCCTCAGCACATCCTTGGAACTTGAGATTCATGGTAACGAATTAAAAAACCACATATGACTTTTTTTATAGATATTTATATGATAGCTACCTGTGCCTGTGCCTTAGTGGGAGGTGAAATGTGATGCTATAGGTTAATATTCTTCCCACCCGCTGCTGCACAGTGATGTGATCAAAAATCAGATGATGTTTTAGAGACAGGCAAACATCATTACATTTTGATGGAAGCTGGAAAAACAAGAATGTGCTCTTGTAAATGACATAATATGATGAATCAAGTTCAACATGATAAGAGACATGAGCTAATTTGTTGAAAAGTGTCAATTATGATTTCAGGTTAGGCTTTAATTTCTTTTCAGCCTGAGTGCCACACAGTCAGGAAACACCTAAATTAATGTTTTGCATAATCTTTACGACTAAGGTTGGTGCCTAAATGCTTGAATTTAAGTAGTGATGTTGTTGTCTGTATTAATTTATGTCCAAAACAAAAAAATTATGTGTAAAAAAAAAAAACAGGATCCAACAAGAGCTCAGCTTATGTGGAACTTCATGTCAAGTCCATATGTGTTTTTCTAATGTCTTTATTATTATTATAACATGTATAATTGTATGAGTATGAGTGCCCAAACTTGGAATTTGGTACTAAACACACACTCATACACTCATGGTGAGATGCTGAAAAGCAGAAAGTGTGTGAACTCAGCCTGCTCTCTCTGTAAGTGCCACTGCAGTGAAAATGCAGGACAGGGGAGTGGGGTCACTGTGGACAGATGAAAGTACTTTGTTGTCTCCATTGTAACATGAGAGCAGTTTTGACTAAATATGAAACTACAGGATACTGCAGTGTGTATGTGTGTGTGTGTGTGTGTGCCCAGTGCTATCTCACATGCTCTGTATTGTCTCTCCTCTTCAGGTTGTGTCATATCACGCGTTTGTATGTGGGCTTCTTCATTCTACTTGCTGTTTTAGTGTTATCTACACTGTCCTCTCCGCGCTGTTGTGTGTGCGCGTGTGTTGTGGTCGTGGTGTTGTGACGTGGCTTATCGTGTTCTTAATATGTTTCACACTTTTTTTTCCTGCTCTGTCCACTCTGGACTGGGTAAGTCCCTGCAGCTCAGTTAGGGACTTGCTCAGGTCAGTTGAGGTCACGGTGAGGTCCTGGTGAGGTCATGTGAGTGTGGGTCTGCCAGATCGCTGTCGAGGTTAAAACTTTAAGCCCTCAGTTCCAAACCAGGGGTGTCAAACTCAGACTCAGTTCAGGCCAAGTTGGCATTTTTGTGTGCCCTCAGAAGGCTGTGAAGCGTAAAGTGCATCTGTTTTCTAGATTATCATAGGTTACATCAGGCTATCATATTTAACTTTGTCATGACAGAAATTCTGTTCTTTTACGTCTGCCGCAACTTCTTTACGAAAAAAAAGGTACATGCAGTTTATCACCACTGTGTTCACTCTCCAAAAGTTGTTCTGTTTTCGATATCTGGGGCAGTATTATAGAAACTTCCTACCTTTAGTCCTAAGTAAAGATCTGAGTTCACAGTAATGCTGCATTTAGTTGTTAGCACAGGGGTTGGCAACATGCGGCTCTGGAGCCACATACGTCTCTTGTACTGCCCTGTTTGTCTCCACAGCAGAATTACATTTTAGGTAAAAATAAAATAATCTTCCTTTGCAGTAAAATAAAGCTCTGCTGATTATTGTATCATAGTTTTAACACTTGTTAATGTATAACTGCTAATTCACCAACCTTTAACCCTGGCCTAGCCAGTAGCTAATGAAACTGCTAAAGAGAAAGATTTAAGGCAAACATCGATAATTTAGAGGCAAATGGACTTGCATTTATAAGCACCCCAGCTGGTTTCCTGATACGTTTAATCTGCAATGAGAAACTGTGGAACACTATAAAGTCGCAAAGCTGGAATCAGTTTCTTGTTCGATTTGTCCTGTCCACCTTAAATGGTGCGGCAGTTACATTCTGGTGCCTCAGGCACCATTTAAGGTGGAATGAGAAAATATGAACAAGACGCTGGTGAATGAGAAGCTGACTTCAGCCTCTTAAAAAGTCAAGCGTTGAGAGACGTTTTACAAGAAACTGTTCCACTTTTGAGTAAACGTTTTCTGTCGGAGATGTGAGAAAAGCGACTACAGCTGAGCTAAAGCTTAAAGCAGAGCAAAGTAAGTGTGTTTTCATTCATATTTCTTTAGTCTACATGAGGACATTAGCACATACTGAGACATATTTACAGTAGATTGTCAAAGGCAAGCCGGATATTCTGTTGTTTTCAGTGAAGCTATGATGGATGTTGATTTTGTTCATTTTTGATTTGGGAGATATGAACACTAAACTGTTGTCCAGCATTAACCAATATTATACCTATAACTATAAATAAATAAAGCACAGAACATCCTCTTTTTTACCCCTGAAATGAGGAATCAATGGCTGTCTGAAACGTAATAAATGCTGCCTACTCGGACAGTATTTTGAAGAAGGGAGGCACCCAGTAATGTCCGAATCAAATGTGTGTATAAACTGCTGCCTGTTAAGGTTCCCCTGTTTGGCTGTTTTTGAAGGCAGCATTGATGTATCCTGTGCTGCCTACATATCCCATAATCCCCTGTGTCAGCAGCGATGCGATTAGGAAAAAATAACAGAAAACACCATCACTGACTCAAAGACAATGCTGCCTTCTAAGGCACTGACTTATGAGTCAACACAGGCAGCAAGGCATGGAGATAGCTGCCTTCAGTTTTGGGCACAGCAATTATTGCTAGAGCTCTCCTCTGATAATCATGCATTTTTGCCAGTAAAGCTGTCATCGTGGCAACGTTTTAATTTCTGTGTGCTGCCAGTCACATTCTGCTGTAAGTGTAAGAATGATGGGATTTGGCAACATGTGAAAATAGCGATAATTTTTCACAAATTCATATTACAGAAGCAAATCTATCTTAATTTAGCCATTACTTTTTATGTTCTCCATCTTATCTCAAGTTAGGAAATCTTGAACTACTCAATCGAGGTTGATAATCAATTGTTTGTGACCAGTGCAACCAATGACACATGCTTGGCTGAGAAGTAAACACATAGTCGATGTAAGTTATAATATTGTATTGTGAAAAAAAAAAAAGAAAATTTCGGTGCCGCTCCCTGTGTATCAGTATTACTTTCCTTTAGTCAGTGCACACCACATAAAATGAGGTGGGTCTTGAGTTTGACACCTCCATTTTAGATGCTCTGCATTGTTTACCAATCAGCCTGAGGAGAGAGACACAGAGATGCGTGGCGCAATCAGGAGACCTCACTCAAACGGCCACACTTCTTCAGTGCTTGGTGAAGCCAAGGCCTTCTGTACTTGTGTTTGTAAGTGTGTATGTGTGAATAGGTGTGTCTTAGCTGTTGTTGTGAGTTGTGTGCAAGGTGTAAACACACACTGATGTGTGGCTGACTGGTTGACAGACAGACACAGGGACATTTGGACAGACTCTCTGACAGACTGACAGAGGGAAGGTAAGACCAAATAGCACAGCCATCCAGCAGCAACGCGCAACCCCTCTTAACATAGAAGCTCCTGAACCCAAACCCCCCGAAACCCCAACTAAACCCTGACCCCAAGCCCAGGCCTGGCCCTTCGCTCAGCTGCAGCAATGTCAATTAGGATGAAGCAGCCATGCGCTCTCCTACTGTCCCACTTTAATTTCCAGAGCAAGCCAAAATACATATACCAGCTTTTTATATATAATTAAAATTATATATATATATATATATATATATATGTATGTTAATTCTATACTATGTGTATGTGTGCTTGTGTGTATGTGTGTGTGTTCGTGTTTGGTGTGAGGACCAGAAGTCTTCATAATGATAGGATGAATGACAGAAAATGACAGAAAAATCTGTACAAACTAGAACAGGTCCTCACATTTCACCCTAAATGGAACTTTTTTTTGGAAAAAGTAAAAGAGCTGTAGAAAGAGATAGAGGCAAGCATGTATATATATATATATGTGCATTTTACCATTTTCATGGGGTCCATTTTTGAGACCCTACCCTGCTGTGTGAGGACTATAAAGTGGACACTGGGGACATTTGGCTGGTGCCGTGAATATCATTTCATTCTTTTTAAGCTTTCTTTTTTTATGGTAAAGGTGTGGACTGTCAGAAACAAATCAAGGTACAAGCAACGTAAATGCACCCTGAAAGGTACAACATGGTCCTTAAAGTCCGTTTGTGCACCTTAAATGAATGTGTACCAGCAGACAGGCTTAAATTTTTAAAACTTGGTTCTTTTAACAGAAAAATGAAATAAAAAGCCTCGGATTTAAGACAGAACCTAAAATGAAAAAAAACATGGAGTATGAAATATTCCTCTTCCTAGTTAAAGGTACTGATAAGGTACCCTTGAGGCTACCACCCCAGAGCCAGCATTTGTACCCTAAAAGGGACAGTTTAGTAGCTTTTTAGAGAGTTTGTGTGGTCATTTTAAATGCATACAGTATGGTGTTTTGTTTGGCTGAATATCCATTCAAGCACCACATACACATACATGCATATTGCTCTGGCTGTTAAAGTGGTCTGCTCATGTGCTGTGCATCCCTACTGTGTGTGAATGTGTGCGTGAGTGTGTGTTGGGTGTGTTTAAGCGTGTGCATGTGCTGATTTGGGCATGAATGTATGAAACGGCACAGACTCCAGTCAGACTGCAGTATTAAAACTGTGACTCTACACCATGAGCTCTCTACCGTGAGTTCTCTCACTTTCTTTCTTCCTGTCTCTACACTCTCTATTGTCTTCAGCTTTAATTTGGTGTGTGTGTATGTGTGTGTATGTGTGTGTGTTTGTGTGTCCATTTGCCTTCTTTCCCTTTTTACCCTGCACAATAAACCTGCACATAAAAAATAAACACAGTATTGTGTTTATCTTGTACATGTAGTGTATTTTTCTAATACAGTACCATGATAACTAAAACTTGATAAAAGGTTAGGTAAATATCATGGTATTGCAATTTAAATCAGTACATATTTTCATAATATCTTCACATATTTTACATTTTACATTTATATTTTAGCCAGACAGACTGCAGAAACAGTGTTTCAGTTTTTTTATAAAGGCTCCAGTAGAGCTGTTTTTTGCAGTTCTAGCAGTATAGTTTGATATCAATTCACACCCATTACATCCCACAAACTTTCTTTCTTTCTCTCTTTTCTTCTTTATACATCTGTATAAAATGTTTGGCTGCATGACCTTTTGACCTCAGCATGACCACTACAGTGTGCACTGTGTATCTCCATGGTGCCGTCTCACAAATATCACAGCCAGTCTTTCAGATGCTCAGTGTTTAGCACAGCTTCACTATAGGGCTTGGGAACTGACGTCACGTTGCGCTACATTATTGGATCGTTCTGCCATTTTGGCCATGGTAGTTCTTTGTTTGCTACAAATACACACACACACAGTGTGAGAGCTTAAAGAGATGCTGTTTTATTGTGGTCTTTCAGGCTTGTCATGCTTAAAATTGAATCGCATGAGAAGTGGGTGTGTCTTAACTAACTTCAGAGGGATTCCAAATAACGTAATTTGGATGAAATTAACCTGATCATGACGTGTATCCATACAAACTCATAGCCAGTGTGTGGCATAAGTGCCTGTTCTTTTAAATAGATTAGAAGTTTTAAGTCACTCCAAGCCCATGTATAGTTTACAGATGTATGTTGTGCTCAGCTAGTGTCAGATTCCACTCAGTTACTGGCATATTTCGCTATAGGTAGTCTTTTAGTGAACACAGCAAGTCTACATCAGGTACTTAGCAAACTAATGACACTGTTACTGTACTATTCCTTACTATATTAAAACACCGCAAATATTTGTAGTATGACTTGTTTACATTGTATGTGACTTGTTTACACAAGTTTAAATCGAAAGGACAGTCAATCTAAAGTCTG